CCCCGCTTCAGAAGTGTCACAAGTCAAAATCTATGTTTTGAATTTAGAGCAGTTTTAAATTTTCGGTGTATTTGATTTAGTTGTTAGATTCACCTGGGCTTATAAAAATAAGTTTTTAACCTTTTATTAATGACTTTAGGGGATTAGTTAACATTTTAGACGGAAGGATCTTTTAGGACTAAGCTGTAATTAGGTTTTTGATGTGTTGTGTCGTTTCTGATTTGCTTATGAAGACAGATTGTTTTGACTTATGACACTTTCGCTCTTTATGTCTTAGGAATAAACCTTAGAGATCTATTAATAATGAATATACAGTACAGAAGATTTTTGGACAAAAAATATATTTCTGAAACGATTTAGGATTTACAAACCCCTGGCATACCAAGAAACTGTACTGTATGATATAACTTATAGTACAATTGGTATTGATTTTAGAAAACGAGGTACTTGCAACATACATAAGTAAAAGATTTTTGGAATAATTTGTGAACTAAAATAATAACGTAAAAAAATAATACCTACTATTTCAATATTACAGATTTTCATAAAAATCAGCATAAAACCTTTTGATATGATTAGCATTTAGAAACGATAAGAGGTATTCTTTTTTACCGTCTTTAATATTTAGCTTTGTTTTGTAAAGTGACTTCAATGTTGGAATGATCTGATTAATTTCAAGGCCTCTTCTTGTTATATTAATTTCCTGAAATTCATTAGCCTCGTATGGTGTTTTGATGAACAGCTTATTGAGATTATTTCTAACGATCCTTAAAACTTTGACTTCTGTTATTTTAAGGGTGCTTAGATTTAATTGTAACTGTTCGTTTAAAGACTTTATATTATAAAAATCTTTATGGCATAACTGAGTAACCTGATACGGTTGGCCATTTTTTTTTAGCAAATCGTATCAATTGGGCGTTTTGCCCAGGCACGTATATAGGGCCTGCTTTCAATGCTCATTTTATCTGCCTTTCTATAACAGAATGAACGCTGTCACTTTCGTTCTGAGTATGCCCAGTGATTAGATATTTGTGGGTGATTGATTTTATTTTTTGAAATTTGACAATTGCATAGTAATACATTGCCAACATGAATTTATTTTTTTGTTGGCCACTACAGTTGTCTGAATAAAAAACGAGGTCTAAGTTGCCTTCTCTATTTTTAACTGTTTTTTCTATGTACATCAGTGCGCATGTGGCAATCTCTTCAACGCCTCGCTTGCCCTCACCTTCATGCCATACATAGCAGTCTGTGTTTTTTGTTGAAAGTTAGGGAATTGTAAAGTTCAAGCTATTTAGTTTTGACTTATAATAAAAAAACTGACACACCACCACGAGGGCAAGGAAGAACAGCCTGGAGATCGTATACTGCTACAATATAGTCATTGTATACTTTAAGTTTGTCGTCATTTTTTCTCTTCTAGAAATTTCTTTTTTCTCTCTGGTGTTTTTCATATTTCATTTTTCTTTATCTTCGGCAGTGGCATTAGCGAATGCAGCGCATAGTTCACACTGATCTTTTTTTGGAGTAAAGGAGCTTATCTTGTATTCATTATTAAACATTTTGCTAAACATACACAAATTTACATACTCTTTTCCAGCCTGAATACAGTTATTTTATAATCTCTCCAAATATCTGTCAATAATTTACTACCATCTATATAATGACGTGTAGTTTGAGCCCGGAGATAATGAGACTCAATTTTCGGAATTGACTCAGTATGTGTTGCCTACACCATCTTTCATTTCAGTCGGAATGGTGAGATGGGGATTGTGTCCCCTTAAATCTGGCTCGACACTAACGGTCCTTATTGGGCGGTCATTTATGTCAAGGGTCGCTTTAGAAAATGCTTTATAAACTCCAATACGTCCATTTAGATCGAAATAAAAAGCATGATTTAAATTACGGTGATTTTGGGTAAACGAATATCTGTACTTAGGTTTAATGGAAGTCATGCAGCCAGCAATAAAACATCTTTGTTTGTGAGAATCACCTAATGCCCAATAGCTTAAATCTTAAAAATTTGTTGCCATTGCCTTTCATTAATTTTTGTTGAACATTGCAGTTTGCAGTTCTCTCCACAAGGTGGGCGCATTCTTTTCTCTGGATATTCTCGCCTACTCTTTGAAGTTGATACGTAACTTAATCCAAGGCTCCTTCTGGCCTTTGATTTTTTCACACTCCAATTTTCTAAATCTATTTTTCTCTTTTTCCTCTTTTATTATGATCTTCGATTTCTTCCTGAACTATTTCCATCAAACCCTCCTCCTTACTAGAAGACTCGCTAGATGAAGTACTTAGTTGGCGGCATTCAGATTTTTTATTTCGTTCATCTGCAGAGTATTTCGGATCTTCATCTGAATCATAGCAGTCACTTTCATCACTATTTATAGGAAAAATTATTGTATAACACTTTCTGGAGACTGTCCGTAATTTGTATTTTAAAGTCTCATGATAGAGCCCTGATGGTCCTGGTTCCTGCGAGTGTAAAGTATTTTTTGATACTACCTTTAGAGGGACGCTAACAACCGGCAAAGTTTCTGTTTTGGATGTAGCTTCTTGAACATCATACGCAAAACATTTTTATATAATATTAAAAGTTAAACATAATAGGTTGATAGCTAAATATAGTACTCACCTAGTTTTTGGCAGCTGTGGCTACTCCTATTTTCCTGTTGCATTTTATCTGGTAAAATCAAGCCAGAAACAACATCAATCCCTGATTCAGCTTGTACTGTTTCCACTTCTACTTCTAGTATAGGGTGATGATCTTCCCCTAGGAGATGCAAGACCTTGTCGTTGGTGGGGAAGCTCCTGGTTAGGTGCTGGGGGAATCCCCCCTAGCACTTGGCTTGATCTAAGAAGCATCTCACTCATCGTCTTGTCCCTGACTGTAGTGTCGTGGCCAGGGAATTGCACCAAGACATATAACGATACCGGGCGGGCCTACGGACAGCCTCAACCTTGGGGCATCGGGGGGCACTCCATTGTATTTTACCCCTTACTTCTACATGCGGGGCTCTGTAGAAGTGGACCGACTGTCCCTAGCGACTCATGGGAACACTATGAGATCTGGTAACAATAGTAATAAAAACATCACCGGTGAAGCTGTGGGGAAACCCCCTAGCAACACTGGGAACAGTAACAATGAAAGTTCCAAGGGGCCAAACCCAAAGAGAACTACAGGAGAGGTGGCTGACACTTGCGTGAGACCATCCTCCGCAAGTGGCATACAAGTTACCACCTCCTCCAATGGTCGGGAGCCTACCTCCTACCTCTAAACCCAACAGGCGACACAAGCTACCGTTTCGTCTACCCGGCCTGGGTCGTAGCTCCTCGACTGTGAAGGACACGGGTCTCCGTAGGAAGTCCTGGGACTGTATGATGAGTTATAACTCAAGAAAGGGAGACACAATAGATCTCTAAGGTCGCAGAGATTAACCCCCCTCCCACTTATTCTAAATTCTAAATAGGGTGATGATTGATAACAGGTAATAGTTCTGTGAAATAGGCGACACAGCTCGCATCGCTAACACATTTTGGCGAGTTTCGCCTATGCAAAAAAAACAATGGCTTTAAGAAGAACATTAAATAAACCAAAAGCACAATAAAATATGATACATGTACCTATTTTTGGCAAGCTATAAAGTTTATGGTTCCCCAACAGAGCTTCTACTGTTTCTAATTCTACTTCTGGTATATTTTCATGATTGACCACAGGCAATAATTCTGTAAATTTGGCATCAAATCTCCCTTCTGAAAAAAAAACAATGGTTAAAAAAAAATCTTTTAAATAAACCAAAAAAATACATCAAAATATAATGAGTATACCTATTTCGGGCAAGCTAGAAACTTTATGATTCCCTGACTCATCTTCTACTTCTGATATTGGACCGTGATTAATAGGCAACGGTTCTGTAACGGTAGCCGTGCTTCCCATTTCAAACGAATTTTCTTGCGCATTGTCTATGAAAAAAAACTTTGTATAGAAAAAAAAATGAACAACATATCGCACCCTCGCTTCAAAAGGGTCATAAGTCAAACTACCATAGTTCGAAATCGATGGAAATACAAATGCGTAATAATAAATAAAAATTTAAGAGCGCACTAAAAAAACAAAGACTAGTGGGTATAAAATATTCAAACGTTGGGACATAGTATTTTTATGGAATTCAGACTTGAAAATTAGTTAGGTGTTAAAAAATCAGAAGTGACACTTTTGAATTTAAAGTTTTTCTTTTTTTTTCTTTTGGATCAAAAGTAAAATATTATAAAAAAAATTAAAAAAATAGATTTAGGCATTTATCGAGGCATTTATATTTTTTATTACATAGAATAGAAACATTTTATTGCACCTTAAATAGAACACATAAAATGTAACCAAATATCACATAAAACAACTGGTAACTTTAGAAAAAACTGCTAAACTATACGTAACATTAAATTCTAAGGAATGTATCTATTACGTCCAGTTTGAGACAATTTTAAAAACTTAAACTAATGGGAAATAGGGTAAAAATACAAAAACTAAATATAAATGCTAAAATAAACTTCAAAAACGGATAATCACTAAATACATAGGGCAGAGTTATGCAATTCCTTAATTTTATTTTTTAATACCAAAATTAAAATTTCATATAAATGAAAAGTTTCGTGAATTGCGAAATAGCAATAATTATCAGGGATTAAAAAATTGGATAATTCTGCCTTTAGGATGTTAAATTATTGTAAAATACAACATGCACTTTACTGCCCTCCTAACTAACAAAGCAGTATCTCCACTTTTAGTGATATTGAGATAATGAACTTTTAAAGTTTTTTTCCTGGGCGAGCAGGTAAACAAGCATGTAATATTCTAGAACTAAGTATAATAATGGATGATCACTTTTTCTAACTACTTTGATATTTGAAATTGATTTAATCAAACAATTTAATCAAAAAATAAGCTGTTACTGCGTTTTAGTGTAGTATATAGAATTCAAAATTTGTTTTTGTGCTAGTCAGTTTTGCAGTATTGTAAAAATTTGGGAGTTGCTGCGTTGTAGACTAGCGACATGGAATAAAAAAAGAGGGATGCTGCAATATTAGTGCCTACGACAAAAACAAATGAAAGTTAAAAATGATATAATTTATTGAATAATTCTGTCATTGAAAGTTATTCCTTATCGTCTGAATTTCTTAGGTCGATCGCGTTGTCATCAACAGGAAGTGTTTCCCAAAATACTCGTCTATTTTGTGGTATTAAAGGAAGCAAGTGTTTCTCGATGTTGCGTTTTCTCTCATTTGTGATTCCTCTTGGTTTAATTATTCTTGGTGGAAGATCCAGTCGACGTATAGCTTTCTTATTTAAGAAATTCATATTATAATTCACCTCTGCATCAAAACTTGTCCGGTAAACGAGTTCGTTTTTTCCTCTCTCAGCAATGACTTCCACAATGTCTTTCATATAAGGTCTTGGAATCAATTGTTTGATTTTGTAAGAGGAAGAATTATCGGGCCAAACAAAGAAGTCCTCCAGCTTCATTTCCTTCACGGCCACTTTTCCTGAATTTGCAGCTTGTACACAATTTACAAAATCTGCAAAATCGTATACTTTCTTCTTTTGTTGTAGAGATAGCTCCACCTGGTGGTGGAAACTGTCTGCCGCCATAAAAGTATGTCCTGGCTCAAAATATCGCAAAGTCAGTTTATTTGTTGCTGTTTCAGGTGAATTAATGATATACGTCAGATAGGAAAATAGGGCCCAGTTTTTATTTTGTCCGGAACAATTATCTAACCAGATGGTTATGTTCTCAAAGTCTCGCATGGCGATGAGGAAAACGTGAAAGGTACTGATCAAATCTTCTTTTTTTCTCCCGGAGATGCATTCATGCCAGAGGCAAGCAAAAGGTTTGATCTGCTGCTTCTTGCCAATCGGTACAAAGCTTTCGTTAAACACAATAATTCGTTGACAAAATATCACCTGCTTAAACATATCGATCCTAGGCAGCATTATAACTTTTTCTAAATCTGCAGAAACAATTATGGATGTTTCATCGGAACCAGCATTAGCAGCATCAGTCCTGTATTTTTCACGGGCATTCTTTGCTTTACTAATATGATTTTCCCATGCCTTGCACGACTCGCAGTCCGGAATTAGATTTTGTTGGGTATGTTTTGGATCATGCATCTTAAAAATTTCACATGTTTCACATTCCTCGTGACCCAATTTAGTGAATGAAATATTACAATCCTTTGAAACACACTTTCTGTATAACTCGTAAGAACACTTTATGTCGGGATATTTTGCCATTAAATCTTTATGCATGTTAGTGATGTTGATATCGCTAGCTAAATACCTTTTGTTCGGCGCATGTTCTCTTCTGTAATGGGAAATGGTAGGTCCAAAAGATTCAATATGTGTTTTTATAACACTTCGATCCGTTTTAGGAGTTTTGGGGTGCTTTCCTCGTTTATCTTGCACGCTCGTAGCATTACTTTCCTTATTAATAATATTGGTGATAGCTCGGTCGTTTTTGCGATCATATCCCAGTGTAGTCAGAAAGAACACTTTGCAGATTTCCACTTTTTCACCGTTTGCATTTTTCAAAAAGTATTTACAAGACCTTGTCCTCGACATTCCAGAACCTCTTCGCCGTTTCACTTCCATAGTTGAAATAGTTGCCGAAAGAAAAATTTGACGTTCCTGCCAGGACATCATCCAGTAGTCCCTATTGATTGATATACGCTGATCTTCCACAATTTTTCCAACACATCCTTTCTTGCATGGTCCACAACCTGTTCGAACCGTATGTTTAGTTTTAACTTTTTCCAGTTTATCAGCATTCCTTTCTGCAACGGTTTTACAAAACTTCTTCCTTTTTCTAAGTTCTCCCGTTCTTTTAGTGTACTGTTCATCAGGCTGAACGACTTCAGCCACATCTCCACTTTGATCAGTTGAGGTTTTCTTTAATTTTCTACGAATCTTGCTCAAAGGTTGATCAGATGAAGTATCAGAGTCAGGTAAGTAATGGGGATCGTCCACAGAGTCGTCAGAATTTAATAAGGGCATGTTTGTATCTTGAATTGTATTTATTGAAGAACATTGTGCTTCATCAGTATCAGCAACCATAACGTCTTGGGTGTGGCGTACTGGTGATGATGGGGTATCAGAATCGGGTAAGTCATAATGATGAAGATCGTCGACAACACTGTTTTCAGAATCAAGCAATGAAATGTTTGCATCCATGATTCCATTTGGATGGATCAGCAGAGGCAATGATGGAGCATTGAATTTAGGTAAGTGGGGATATTCGAATTCCAAGTGATTGGAATCAAATATTGGAATATTTGCATCCTGATTCAAATTAGGAAAGTCCGGCTCCGCAGCGGCCATAATTTCAGTGGAAGGTGGTTCTGGCATTAATGAAGGACCGTCTAAGTTATCTTCAGATGGCGAAGCAGCAATTGAACCAGATTTGGAGATATCAGCATTGTAGAGGCTCAGCGGATTCAATGTAACATACTCATTTGATTCTGTCTGTTCGATCACATTGCTAGATATAGCTTGCACATCAATTACATTTATTGGCACCTTATTCTGAAGACCCTTCTTAATCAGTTTCCACCGATAACCGTGCTTCTTGTTCTCCATAGTAATTTACAGAGCAAATCTGAAGCAAGGAAAAATACCACATTCGAATAATATGAATAATAATTGTTATGTTTATAGGTATCAGACAGAAGCACGTTTAAGGTTTTTTTTTAAATGGCAAGTAGGAAACTGATCAAACAACTGAGACAAACCTACAATATTTTTGATATAAATAATTAATATCGTTGTTATAGAGAGCTCAAGTAAACTCCCGAATTTAAAAAAAATAGAAAGAAAAAAGTAAATGACAATAAACATTGTGAAGAAAGTACTTACCAATTACTCGAAATATCTTTTACCAAACTAACACTATCACTTTTTTTATTACTTGCTGATAAAACACAAATTATGCAGTTGTTGGTTATGTTTATGTTATCTGATACACGTGCAAACGCGACTGAGATCTGCCGCACATACAATAAAAATGTTTGCATGTCAGCTGATCCTAGACATAAAGGCAGTATCTCCAGACAAAATTGGACATACTGCATTTTAGTCAAGCAAATGTCAGATACTGCTCTTTAGATATGTATGAACATCAAAAAGTGGAGATACTGCAAACGTTTTAGCCATTTATTTCAATATGGATTGCCAATACTGCTTTTTTGCTTAGTTAGACAGATACAAAAAAGTTCTAGGCATGTTAGAAATGCAGTAACTCCAAAATGACAAAATTAGGAGTTACTGCGTTCTAGCTTAGGAGGGCAGTTTAGGAATGTGATTTTTGTTAAAGTAAGTTTTTTTTGTTTTCTTTTATTTTAAGGGCATTTTTGTATGCTCTTTGTAAATCCAGAAGAGCGTTATGTGAAATATTTCATTTAGAAATTTCTACACACTTAAATTCAGTCTCCTCGTAAGAATTCTTGTATTTAAATTTAGTGGGATGTGTGTTTTCTACTTGAAATATTTTTATTTCATTAATTTTAACTGACGCAAGTGTAAGATTTAGCTGCTGTACTAGAGCCTTTATAGCAAAGAAATCTGAATGGTCAAGTTCATTAACTTGGTAAGGATCGCCACGCTTCTTGTCAATTGCGAGTAGTGTGAGGGCACATATACAGGTTCTGACTTAAGGGTTCGTTTAATTTCTCTTTCAATTTTAGAGTGGATACTGTCACCCTCGTTTTGAGTGTTTCCAGTTATAAGATACTTATGGGTTATAGATCTAATGTTTTTAAATTTCATTATAGAAAAATTATACATAGATACCATGAATTTATTCTTTTGCTGCCCGCAGCAGTTATCTGAATAAAATACAATGTCGCAATTTTTCTTAGAACTTCTGCACCTCAGTTCCCTTCCCCCTCATGCCCAAAGTAACATTTTGAAATTATTCAGTCTCGATTTATAATTTTGACACATCTCCGCGAGGGGTGGGAAGAACAGCTTGTAAGTCATATACGGCTACGATATAATTAGGCCCCACCTTGTTTTTATCTGCCTCTTCTTTTCTTGACAACTGTTTTTCTTTCTGGTGTGAATTAAATTTTTCATATAAGGCCTCTTTCTGATCTCAACACATAGATCGCATTGATCTTTTTTAGGGATAAAAAACCCTAAATTGTATTCCTCATTGTGTGTGACAATCTTGGTAAACATGACTAAGTTACAGTATGGAAGATTAGCCTCAAGACAATCCTTCTGATAGTCTCTGTAGATTTCAGATAAACATCGTCCTCCATCAGTGTATTCTTATGATGCCTTAGCTCTGAGGTAGTGCGATTCAATTAATGGGATTGAATCAATGTGAGCACGAACACTATTTTTTATTTCTTCACTAACCTTGTAGTGGTTACCATGTTTCCCTCTCTTTTCAGGTGTTAAGAAACCCTTATCATCTTTCTTTTGCATAACAGTTCGAATTGTACGATCATTAATATCGAGTGTTGCTCTGAAAAAAAACTTTGCACACTCATCTTAGTGTCATTTATTTTAAAATAAAATGCTGTATTAAGTTTACGATGTCCGTTTGTCGTTGAATATCGATATTTGGGCTTAATACTTTCCGTGTTACTAGCAATAAAATGTAGCTGTTTGCTGAGATCTGCTAGGTACCAGTTAGATTTGAAAACCGCTTGTCTATTCGCCTCGTTGATTTTTCGTGAACAGCCTAATTTACACATTATTTCCCCACACGGCGCGGCGGCGGTCGCAGTTGTTTGGTTCTGATTTCCTTCTTGCTTTTTGACGCTGAAACGTACGCCAGTCCCGAATTTCGTTTAGATTAGGTTAGGTCCAGGCTTCGGGATTAGCTTTTCTCTTTCTTGTTTTTTTCTTATTAGTTGCTTGGTCGTCGGAATTCGTCTCTGAGGAATCTGACTGAATTATATTTTCAAACCCGGACAAATCCTTCAGGGGTCGATCATGATTTTCAGGTCTAAAATGAGGGTCTGCATCAGAATCCTGCATCAGTTTCTTCACTGTGGATGGGAGATATACCATATTGCCGAGATACCGCTCTTTTAATATGAAGTTTTGTAGGACGATTGGAACTCTAACTTGATACAAATTCCACTGTTTTATTATTATTCTCAGGCATTTCACCTGTTGTAGAAATACACTGTTGGACTATTACGACTGCACGTGAATTTATTCACACATGTAGAAAATGTCATGTGTCTAAAATAAAGGATAATTTTTTAAATTAATTATATTATAGGGGCCTATCATGTCATGTTAATCACACCTCTCGCACTTTTAACTTGCTCCAACGGATTTGGTGATGAGCTCCAACGGTGATTTGATTGAGCTCTGGTGATCGCGTCCAGGTCATTAGAAGATAATTCAGCATCATTTTCCATATCGCTAGTGGAAGGCAGCGTAACAACCTCTACACTTGGTATATTATCATTGAATATAAGGCTTTCCACGTTTGTGTAAACTGATACGGAATCTTAGGAAAAATTAGAAACAATTAGAGAATATTTTTTGAAATAGATAGGAAATAGTCTTGGTAGAAAACTTTTTTTTAACAACGCAGCTTTTATTTTTTTTTAAACTTGGTAAAAACAGTTTTTATTTTGCAGTTTACACTATTAAACAAGAAATAAAATTATTTTTTGTCATACGCTCCCAAAAACAGCTATTTTACGGACTCATTTCAGTCCGTAAAATGTTTCTTTTTCGGCCTAGGCCGTAAAGGTCGTCATGGCAACCTTTATGGACTAAAATGTCTAAATTCGTTATTTGGTTGTTTTATTTTGTCATTCGAAATTTGTCACAAAATCACATAAAATTATACATATATTTATAATTAAATTATTAAATACTAACAATATCAAAAGCTAAGTTATTTGTTTAAAGTAAGTACCTAGGTACCTATTTAAAAGAGGCTTTTAAATTAAAATATTCTTAAATTACAGTCACAAACATTCAAACCATCGTCAATTTGGTCGAAATATTCCATGCTGAGAGCAGTGTTAAGTGTTAAAGAAGATATTTATATTGACAAATTTCCAAAACTTATTGCTTTTTTTGAAGAGGAATTCGGTTGGTTACGAGCCTAAAGTCTAAGGTTTTGTCCATAAAAGAGATCGGTGATTTTTTGGCCACGGCTAGTGATGAAACTTATTTACTTACTAAGGTAAGTTTGCGATAATGATTTTTAAAATATATAGATGGTTTCTTATTCCATTGTATTTGATTTTTAAATTATTAAATACTAACAATATCAAAAGCTAAGTTATTTGGAAAAATAAAAATGAAATGAACAATTTTGTGCATTTTGAAAACTTGCATCTGCAATCGAAACGACTCCTCCATTGGCAGGTAAATTTACTTTCTGATGAGGTGGAGTAAATGCGAACGATGATGTACTTGGTAATACATCCGTGGAAGTGGTCGCGATTTTCTTTTCCCCCATTAGCAGTTTGCAAACTTTCTTCTTTTTCTCAATAGATTCTTCTATGTAACCTTCGGCCACTGTGGACGACCTAAATAATTATTGTTGTTTAGAACAAGATCGGAAAATATTAAAATTTTTACCTCCAACCTCCTAGGCGTTTCAGCGATGTAAAATCCACATCTGCATCTGCAGCAAGAGTAGCAGAACTACGTCGGAAACAATGACCTGTATATTCGTTTGGGTTCGACAACTTTAAAAATGCTGCTACAATCGATGGCATCTTCCCAAATGAATGAATGCCGACTCGTTGCACGGTGCATTTTCCTTTACGATAAGAGATGAAGACATAATCATGTGGTACATTTTTTGGCCTAAGACAAGCATATTTTCTATACAACTCAACTGGATTGACAACGTTCCCTTCGTTCACCACCGGAAACACTCTTTTGATATTAGTTTTTGTATCCGCAAGGGTAACTAAAAGGCAGCTGTTGTCTTTTTCTATGATGTCTTGCACTCGTAGAGAGTACAATTCTTCTCTTCTACATGCTCCACAAAGGCCAATGACAAGAGCTACCTAAAATCAAATACAATGGAATAAGAAACCATCTATATATTTTAAAAAATCATTATCGCAAACTTACCTTAGTAAGTAAATAAGTTTCATCACTAGCCGTGGCCAAAAAATCACCGATCTTTTTTATGGACAAAACCTTAGACTTTTTAGGCTCGTAACCAACCGAATTCCTCTTCAAAAAGCAATAAGTTTTGGAAATTTGTCAATATAAATATCTTCTTTAACACTTAACACTGCTCTCAGCATGGAATATTTCGACCAAATTGACGATGGTTTGAATGTTTGTGACTGTAATTTAAGAATATTTTAATTTAAAAGCCTCTTTTAAATAGGTACCTAGGTACTTACTTTTTCGTGGAAATAATTTAGCAATACATCTTCATTTACAACGAATACGCCATTTTTGTCTTTCCATTCATTAAAAACATCATATTCTTTCTGGTAAATGGCACGAGACTTCACAGGAAGTAAATCCAACACGATTTCTTTGGCCTTATTAGCAATATGTTCGGGATTTTGGAACATTTTAAAATTGTTGATGAATTTGTGTGATTTTGTGACAAATTTCGAATGACATGTCAAAATGCGATGAAATAAACAAACTCGTTACTAAGATATGAATTTATAAGCCAACTTTTTCAAACATTATAATTTCAAATATGGAAAATTTGCAAATATGCGTTCTAAAAAACTGTAAAAAGCGTATGACAAAAAATAGTGTATGTAACACGTACCTAAATTATGTTTTTTAGGACTCATCTACTATTTCGGACTCGGCTAACGCCTCGTCCGCAAACAGTAATGATTCGTCCTAAAAAACATCATTTTAGGTACTAGTTACATAAATAGCTATAATACTTGCACAATCTTGTTTTATTTTTAACACAAATCAACTATTCTAAACACATTACTAAAATAAACAACATTTTTAACAAAACACAAAAAAATACAAAAATGTACTTCTCTCACATTTAACCGAAAAAACATCTTAGTCTCTAGTTCCGTTTTTGAATGCATTCTTCGCACATTGGTGCATTCTTCGCACATGCTCTAAGCATAGCCATTTGTTACATTTTAGTAGGCGGGTTCTGCAGGTACTCCTCTTAATTTTTTGGCAATATTCCTAATTTCTTTTTGTAAATGAAGGTCTTTCGCTCTTATCAGCATGTTCTCTCTTACCAAGGCTAACCCAATTGCTTTCAGAAACAATCTTCGCTCGGAAATTTTGTCGGCTTCATTTGCATTATATTTATGCACTACGTGCGAGTTTATGCCTGCAATGTTCTGTAAATTATAAAAAATTACCATAGGCCACCTTCGCGTGTTTCTGGCTATGTATTACGCTCCACATTTCTGATCGACTGCGTCAACACCTGATTTTGTAATGTTATAAAATGTAATAATATTCGGCTTACATGTATCTCCAGAATGAAAAGATGATAACATCGTCACGACTTTTTTTTTTCTTCGGTATGTATGATGCCAAAGTCATGACTTTGGAGAACGCAAACATAGAAGAGTACTGTGGCCTGTTGGGATCAAGAAGTTCTTTTGGAATATCCCTTTTATTTTTGCGAATTGTTCCAACAATTGTAATTTTGCGCCGCTCTAGCATGCGTTTTACAATTTCTCAACTTGTGAACCAATTATCCAGGGTAATATTTCTATACGTTCCAGACACTGGCTCACACATTCGCTCTACTAAATCTGTACTAAACAGATATGGTCCTGGAGGCTGAGTTCCAACATATACTTCCATACTAAATGTGTAAAAACATCTGGCATCCACCAAGGAAAATACTTGTATACCGTACTTGGCAGGCTTGTTCGGTATATACATGCGGAATCCGCAATGTCCACGGAATGCGAACAGCATCTCGTCCAATGTCAAATAAGATCCAGGGATGTAATTAATTTAGCAGTTCTGATTAAATCGGTCAAAACACTTCTGATTGGTGCGAGTTTGTCTATTGCTGTCCTGTCTTCTCGGGTATTTATATCGTCAAAACGCAGACAACGAAGCAAGAATACAAATCGCCTGTGGGCCATAATAGCTCGAAACACCTCTTCGCCTGTTCGATCAGTAGCCCAAAACTCTTTGCAGTTTCTGCGGCCTGCTTTGAAAACCCCAGCTAAGTATAATAGACCAATTAACGCCTTTATTTCCACAGTATTTGTAGTTTTGGCTTCATTTGGATCAGCATAATTGTTTTTTATTTTAGAAATAAATATGTTCGTGTACTGAACGATGGTTACAAGTGTTAATCATTTGTGTTAATCATCCTCGCATTTCGGGCTCAACGACACCTTCATTGTTCTCTTATCAATAACTGTACTAATGGACCGGTCATTAATACCAAGAGTATTCTTAAAAAATACTTTACATACCCGTGTTTCGACCAAGTTTACCTTAAAATGAAAGGCATGTTTTGATTTGCGACTGCTGTTAATCATTTTACATATTTTATTGCTGTTAATCATTTTACATATTTTATTGCTGTTAATCATTTTACATATTTGGGACAAATCACTTTCATGCAGCCTGAAATAAAATCTCTTTGTCTTGTCAAATTGGCTAAATTCCAGTAGCTTTGAAAAATGTTTGCTCTCTGATTTTCACTTATTTTTTCTGAACATTTATGACGGCATCTTGATGTGCAAGGTGGACTCATTTTTTTCGCAGCAACGACTTTCTTTGATTTTTTTTTCATTAGATTTTGATAAAGAAATGTACTGTTTACCAGAGTCCCTCTTCGGTACAAAAAAACTGATGTTATAGTCGGTTTTAAATATTTTCCTATAGCTATGGAACTGCGCTGGTTGACGACCTTCTTTTAAGCAATCTTCTTTGTAGTCTTTGTCTGTGACAAACACGTGTTTTTTTATTCCAGCTATTTTGTCTTTACTTATCTTTGCTTGTTTGCCATGTTTTCCTCGCATTTCTGGCTCAACGACACCTTCATTGTTCTCTTATCAATAACTGTTCTAATGGACCGGTCGTTAATACCAAGAGTATTCTTAAAAAATACTTTACATACCCGTGTTTCGACCAAGTTTACCTTAAAATGAAAGGCATGTTTTGATTTGCGATTGCTGTTAATCATTTTACATATTTTATTGCTGTTAATCATTTTACATATTTTATTGCTGTTAATCATTTTACATATTTGGGACAAATCACTTTCATGCAGCCTGAAATAAAATCTCTTTGTCTTGTCAAATTGGCTAAATTCCAGTAGCTTTGAAAAATGTTTGCTCTCTGATTTTCACTTATTTTTTCTGAACATTTATGACG